TCCGAGTGCAATCGGCTGCTGATACACCACGTAACTCCGACCAGTTTGTCTCAACATTCAGCCTAACAAATATTCGTTTATCCACAACAACAACAACAATAATAGCAATACTGCATGAAATGGCCGTCGGCAACAAGATCTACTAATTGGATGAATGTGGGATAGCGTATTGGTAAAAAACCGTTATTGGGAGGTAAATAGATGAAAAAAGCGCACTAAACCTTATGGGTCTTTCGCAACCAACATCAAGTAGTTTGGCGGGGTAATATGATGTTATTATTTCGCGAAACTGCTCATCTGTCATCGTCTTCAAATCACCAAATTTCATCTAAAACAGCAAATGAACAGAAAAGTATATCTAAGAAAGCCAACTATGCGTTTGGCTGGTATTTTGTAACAAGCAATTATGTAGATTTTTACATGCACGAATTGCACTGTTGAGCCACATGTGTCTTTTGTGTTTCGCTTCTTATTTACCAAACACATGATATGTGCGTATGCTAGTATATATGTGTCCTGATTGGCGACTGAATAAAATGTGAAATAAATTCCTATATATACGTCTTGCTACATCGACGGCTCTCCCATCGATCAGTCTTGCAAAGTTGATGGCAATTATTTTGAAGGGCTTTTAAACTTAAGCAATCTTGACAACTCGTGTTTCAGATCGCGGAAGAAATTATAACCCTGTGCTTTTGATTATGATTTTACACATGTAACTATATCAAAAATACCGACATAATATATATGAAGAGAATTCTAGGTTTCCCCGGGCATGTTACTGGGATGCTTCCACATACTGGGCGCAGCTATGCTGCACCATGCGGTCAGTGATTCTACCGAGAGAAGCACTCAGACGGGGCTTCAGCTGTTCTATCTTTACATCGTGTTCTCTTATCGCCCGTTTTCTTTTCCCTCTAGCCTTATGCAATTTGACACATGCTCATCACACAAGTGGTGAGTAGGAGACTGTACTGATGATTTCCATTCCTACTCGCATGCTGCGTTCGGTCTGTGTTTACAGCTAAGAGATGAGATACAAACTACATCCAAAGATTTTTTCTCATAATACTTAAACTTATCCTTTGTCTCCTTCTCTACTATTTCAGATATCACTGTGGGTGTGCTAAGAATCATCCTTTCGTTCTCAGCGTCACACTACTGAACCAGGAAGCGGTACTGTGCCAGCTACGGGCTAAATAAATATATATGTAGATGTTTATGATTAGGAGGTAAATATCTACATAGATATTTGGAACAGTTAGAGTGCAAATTCATCACTAAACATATCGGCAGAAACGACATACCTGAGCGAAAACAGCTGCTAATTCTTCGCCTAGCTCACTACTTACTGGTATCCTTCCAGCAACAATCTCGTTCGCCATTCGATGCACCAAAAATGTGCGTTCGGCTGATGTTTCTGACAAAACCAGATGACTCCAGTACTGCCGATGCCGAAGTGCTAATTTTATTCGTGCAACATCTTCCGTAACGCGCCCACACTTACTGTCCATCAGTTCCCGTTCCCATCGTGATATGCAGTCGCATAGCTAAAAAAATCTGAAATCGGTTTTTACCACTTTCTGTTACACTCATCTTTATTGATATTCAATTATGATATCAGCGTGAAGGTCGATAAAATATATTTTTAGTATGACTGCAGTGAAATTAATAATAATGACGATAATAATAATAATAGCAGTAATAACAACCACAAATTAAAATAATAACAATGATGGAATTAATGATAACAGCAGCAGAGAAGATACTACCATTGTTGTTCTTTAAAACAGGCTAAGCAGAATTCCGAATATAACGCAAGAATAGAAGAGATGAGGACATAAGCACATGTGATTTCTTGCGTTAGAAAGCACATAAGTTCGAAATTCTCTGTTCGTTATTAATAAGATGCTCCGTAGAAGTTTAATTGACGAACAAAAAAAAAAATTGCAAAACAGAACACAAATGTTTATGACAGGGGCCTTCGATTACTTTTTGCTTGTTTTTCAAGAGAAGATAACGATCCGGTTGTACTGGATCCTCGACATATAAAGCATAACCACTTAACAGCGCAGGTCGCAAACCACATTTCACACACAGTGTCGACAAGCAAGCTCCAATATCCGTAGAGCCATCAAAATCGATAACCTTGAAACTTCGTTCAAAAAACAATGAAAAAAAAAATGATTTTTAAAAATGAAAATTTTTCAGAAGCCCAGGCACGAATGAAGGTACGCCGAAATTTTTTTTTTTTTTTGGTTTTGGAAGATAAATTATAAACGCACTGGTGTTATTTTAATGCATGCAAATAAACC